ACCTTCAACCTGCTAATGGATACCCTCAAACAGTGCAGATTTACTGCTGAAACTTTTAAAGGTTACCTTGGCAGAGAGAAGGTTAAGAGAGACCATGAATTACCTATGTAGGCTCCTTTTTGTCAGGGTAACAATTGTTGTGAATTTTGGATGAACAGTTTTGATGACATGGAACCAGATAGAAAATGGTGAATTTTTCAGTCCAATGTTTTAAAGATGTAACAACTTTGATGTTTCAATATTGGGCTCCCTAGGTATAACCATGTTATTTTAACTCCATGGTATAACCATCATTGTCCCTCCTATTATATTACAGCATGGAAATTAAAGTAATCATTGAATATGAGAATGAAAATAAAATCTTGTTATTTCACATTAAAAAGAACATATGTACATGTATGGTGCATTACTTTACTTCACTTACTGCCACAGTTTTTCTGTACATAGTTGAAAACTGGTACATTTGTATATCTTAAAATGTACTTAAAAGAATGCAAGTGAGGCATTCTTTTGGAAAGTTTCCAGTGCAGCTTCTTGTATGACTGATGTGCACTTCATCTTGTACTGCTACAATGATATACACTTGGGAGTTTCTCCTTCTTGACGGATGAGTTGGAAAACTTTTGAGAACAACTTAAAACAAGTTCGATGGAAAAGTCTAGGAAGAGCTACCCTCGGTGCCCAATTATGGAGTTTTTCTTTGCCAAATTATGGAGTTTTTCTTTGCCCAAAGCCATGCAAGGGCATCATTTACTGTCTCTATGGAATCCTGATTGCAGACTTAGTTACCGTTCACCTCTAAGAAAGGAGACTGATTACAAACAGAGAAGTCCTAACAGGAGCTCAGGATTCTTTGTCTCTAGTAGTGATCACCTGAGCTTTTTAATGTGGAAAGCACATCTGTCTTCCCTTCTGGTCTAGCCTGGTGCCAACTGTTACACACTCTTTCAGAGTCCAGAACAACTGTAGAGCTCTCTCCTATAGGAAACAAAAAGAGTATGAGTATGTAGCACACATGAAAGTTTTTAACTTGCAATTAAGCAGGTACCAAATGAATGCAAAATACTCCTCCCACTAGGACATTGAAGCTGTATTTTACATGTACAGTACGTTGCTTCTTCACATTTCTGTTCCTTATTGCCTGAGTGTATACTAGTAGTATAAACCTAGGCCTGCTAACTGAATTAACGATGAAGTACCTGTATTTTATACTCACATCATGATCACATAGAGCTCTGACATCTGCCCCACCCTCTGCCATCAGATACTTGTAGTTGAACAGCTTTCCATCAAAGTAGTTCCAGGGCACACCATCCTGCACCGTGATTGGCCAGCCACAGGCACAGTCAGCCGAATAGGGAGTAGCTTACACCCTTGAGGAACACTGCAGCAAGATGGACTGGGCGGGGTGCAACTCTCGGTACCTGAAACAAAGATCCACAGGTATTAAAGAATCAGTACAGCTATGTATGTTCCTCAATTTGGAATTATTCACATATATTCATCATAACTTGTTACACAAGGCCCCATAGGTAGCCTGAATAAATGCCTGATTTTGGAAAGTAAACAATGTGTTTTTACTCGAAAAATTACCCTCAAAATCGGAGTTTAAAGGCGTATAACTTCCTAAAAATGCAGAATAGCGGCAAAAAATCTATTGTGTTGTGATTACTGTGGCATGTTTTGTCTACAAACCAATTTTTCGCCGAGAATTATTGATGTTTGATATTTTTTCCCGGCCCTTTGGATTTCGTACCAAGGCACGAGGTCCATTTTGATGACGTCACTTGGTCACGTGATTACACCAAGAAAGCTACTCATACAGACTTGCTATCATACATCAAAATAAACTTTGGTTATTGCAGATTAAAAAAATCTATGGTAGCACTGGTCCGTCTTGGTGGTACAAAAAACGGTCTCGGCCCATGGACTAATATATGTATATACATGTACTTCACCTAGTAAAAATATGACTTGCAGTAAATGGAACTACAATGTACTAGTAATATCCATTCTTTGAACCAAATTTACCAATATCAGGGTTCTAAAACAACGAAAAGTTTTTGTGACTTGAAGCATGGATAAATACACTGCATTCATCAGATGACATGGTCATGTGGTGACAACAAGTTTATATAGGGGAAGAATGGGGGAGGGGGGTAACACATGCTATCTACTTGCAGACCATTTCCTATACTACAGGGGGTTCTTGAACAGTTAGAATTTGTACCTTTAATCCTTGCAGCCTTTCAACATCTTGGGCAAAGGGTACCACAGCTTGAGCCAGGAAGGCGTCCACCTCCCATTCCTGTAATGTTAACATGTGTTTCACCATGTAGTGGAGTACCAAACACAGGATGATGTAGTGTGGTTCAGGTTTTACACATTCCAGTAGACTAACACAGTCCATACAGGCAAAGAAGGTCTGCAGACGGAGGTGTTGGGCCTGTGGTCCGACGGGGGAAAACCACAGCATTGAAAGGGGCGGAGTCCCTCCTGAAAATGAACAACACAACCTAGTTTAGCACATCGAAAGGGTAAGGGTAGAATGGTCCTCTATAGGGTGTTGACACTCACATGGTATTTTGTCCACCATGCTTGATGGCCACTTTGACAGGTAGGTTTGTATTTACCTGTATGACTAGTATTACAGTCATGTAATGATGACATTATAAACATGGAAATCTATACGACTACAGATTCAACCCAAGAGCATGGCAAATGATGTCACATGCGAACACCATGGCTGTCACCTTGTGTTATTTTACATGTATAGGACTGGTACTACAAGTCTTATCAATGGTCCATTAGGTAATGGTATTTACATGTACCTGGTAGGTCCAGTGGTATAGCAGTTACAACATCAGGATGGGTCAAAGTGTTTCCTCTGTATGGACACCACTCCTTCACTGCATTCTTTCCAACAACAGGTCTGCAACTGAACATATAACACACTAGTTACTTCTTAAATGTTGCCTGTGTGTATAAACTGTTTTTGTCTGTTTATTTCATGCTTGAAGTCACAATCCATAATTGACAAGGAGAAACTATCATGTATTGTTGTGTAAGAAACAGGAGGAGCCAGTAAAAACCCCACTGGTCCCGGGCCGGGGTTCGAACCCACGACCAAACCCGGGCACCAGTCCACAGGCAGACACTCTAACCTCTCCGCTAAAAGGTCTAGACCCTTTTGCCGGATCTGTTGGTAGCGCCTATAAACCCCCCACTGTTACACTACTCCCCCTTTTCTTTTTAAGATTCGTCCTCGAATCTTCCGAATTCGACATCCCTGGAGCGGCACTCTTTGCCAGAACTCCCAGGGCCGGTGTGGGAACCACTGTAAGAAACAGGAGGAGCCAGTAAAAACCCCACTGGTCCCGGGCCGGGGTTTGAACCCACGACCAAACCCGGGCACCAGTCCACAGGCAGACACTCTAACCTCTCCGCTAAAAGGTCTAGACCCTTTTGCCAGATCTGTTGGTAGCGCCTATAAACCCCCCACTGTTACACTTGCAATCTTGAATTCTTGGTTTTAAACTTTGAAATCTTCCTTCACCTGTTAAATGAGTCAGCTTGTGTACTTCCCTGAGGTAGTTGGTCTCCCACGGCCGTTGATGAAACGTCTGTATGAAACCTTCTATCTCTGTGGCCAGGCAATGAGAGTGGAGTGGAAAACCTTGGAGCCAGAAGGACAGGTCTCTGGGGCATTCTAGGAGTCACTACTGATCTGCTACTGTTTCTTTCACTTGGCATTTCACTGTCGGAGCCAACTCCATAGAGAACTGCATACATTCTCTGTCGAATTGGACGAAACAGTACAGAAGAAGAGGGAATGTCTGTGCTAGTTTCGTCTTCCATTGCCACACTACTATCTGTCTCAGCCGAGATGAGGATGTTGTAGATCTGTGCAATGTTGTCTGAATTCAGATGCCTTTCCCGAGCTAACTGGAGAACCTTGGTGTCAACCCTAGGCCTGACCTCTTCCACATCCACTTCAAGAGTGATCTCTTCATCCCCACTCATCTGCCTGCAGTTCCGTTTTGCGCCAAAAGGTGGCAGTGCATGTGGAGAACAATTCTGCATGTACATGTACCAAGGTAAGGGGTCCCCAGGTAACAGGTACATTCTGGCACCTTCCTCCATCCTCAACCATTTGTCGGGTTCATTGGGAAACACATCTCGTGCAATGTCCCGTATTGTTGTCCCCTGTGGGATTGTTTGCATGTATCTGGAAACTGCCATCACAACATCCTCTACTCGAGGGAACCTAGCATTAGCAGGCACTCCTACTTGCCTCCTCTTAAAAGACTCTAACTCAGTGGACTTGATTATATCATTCCCCATAAGACACGAGAACAGTGGTAAGTCTTCTAAGCCAATCTGCAGTCGATAGCACAACCTTTCCCTAGAGTACTGTACAGTGGTCAAGGTAGATATATCCAGATTGTTGCTAGAATAGAAGGGAACAGTGTTGAAGATGACAAAATCAGTGTCTTGGCCAAGGATCCCGAAACATGGATACTTCATACAGTATTCAGCTATTTCTATATCTGCTTCTTTAGTGGTGTTCAATACGTACGCACCCAAACTTTTTAGGGCGAATCTAGTCAGCATTCCCAAGCTGACTGGCATCTGGAAGAGGTCATCTGAAGGCTGGGTGCCATGTTTCTTGATGTGACTGAAAACTGTGACCACGTCTCTGGCAGACTGCTGCCTGCGTTTCACCCATTCTGCACGTTTGGACTTTTCCACGACCCCGTCAAAGATGAACACAAGGTCAATGCCAGCAGTTCTGAACGACTGGAGGAATTGGCGAAGCTCCTCGTAGTATTCTCTCCACTGCCCTCCATAGACCCATGGAAGATCTGGAAAATAAGACAGTCCACCAACTGAAGAATGATAACTCTTCATTTGCTAATAAAAAACATAATAGTTTTCTTAATTTCACAACCCAGTTTTTATCTCTGATGAAGCTAAGAAATGTTCAATTCATTACTAGCAACCTGATGCAACTATTATGGAGGATAATGTTTGTCTGTGTCTTTTTTGTTTGTTTGTTTGTTTATGTTTGTTTGTTTATATTTGTAATGAATACACCTTAAGGAGGAACACAAAAGCTTTGTACAGGACTGATTGCTTTGATCCACTTACAGCTAGGCATACCCCTACTCTTATCAATAATAAGTATAGTGGGGGTGGTTCTCTCACCAATAGACCAGTCTTATTCTTGATGCCTACTCCAATGCAAAGGACTACATTTCATTTCCAGTAGCATGCAAGTCAGGTGAGGATCATAGTCAAATCTCAAACCTTATTCATCCCTAGCCCAACCATGTGGAAAACTCACCTCTATTGTAGAGTTTTCTTAGACAGCCTAATCCGTCCACCACCATGACCGGCCTGGTGCCATGTTGTCTGTGGTACTGCCTGGCTAACTCTGACAGGTTCACCTTCACACAGGCTTCAGGACAGTGCCTCTCCAGGTACGTCTGCAGACCACGTACTCCCATCCTGGTTTATCAACTCAGGTTCTCGTAACGTAATAGAGGTTACGGAATATGTTGAACTTCATTTTTTGCCTCATGTCTTAATTTTATCATATAGAAAGCACTTTTTTTAATATCGGGGTTGAATGTTGGGAAAATTAAGCAGTGAACTGTATAAGACGGTTCTTACCGTGGTGTAAACTGAGTCTAAGTAAGTTGTGACGTGACTGTCAGATCTGTCTGAAATGGGGGAGGGGGGCATCCGTATTCCGGCGTACATAACAATTCTAAACGCACACAGGTGCGCAAGGATACCATGTGACCATGGCAGATACAGTCAGTGTTACGTGTATGTCAAAGTTACTCAAAAAAGTGTAGGTTTGTACATTTTTTAAACAATTTTCTTACCCAACTCACTCACGCGCGCCAAGACGTACTGCACTCACTACACTTCCGGGTTTGCCGGGTAATACCATTCGATTCACAGGTGGAGGCAGGATAAGGATAGGAACAGATTATGTAAAAAAAAAACGGATTATATTTTTCTCTGTCCCCCGAAAATGATAGTTGAATCTTTGAGTATTGTTATATTAATTCTTGAATCATGAATACTGAAACTCGGGAATTAAAGGTGTAGTTATCTTGAGCAATATTACCACCCTACATTTAAATGGAAAGTCCGAAATGGTATCCGCTCTGAGCTCTGACCGCACGCTACTCTTCAAGCAGAAGTTTGGGGTTGGGCTTGTTTTTGGCGTGTTTTTAGGCTTCTTATGGGGGTTTCGTTTTTCCACTGGAATCTTTTTCCGTGAAAAATATTCTAGTGCTAAAAGGAAACCCCCGATAAAAGGCCTAAAAACACACCAAAAATAAGCGCAAACCCAAACCTCTGCTTGGAGAGTAGCCACACGCATCATTCGGCAAAAAAAGAAGCACGGAGAACGGGTTCTGCCTGGCTCACCAGGACTACAGTATTGTCGATTAATTATTTCTGATCATAAGGGATGCCATAGGTTTTTCGCCCCATTCGTTTGTACATGTGTATATGGTTTATTCTGCAAATAGCATTTTACTTGCACTTGCATATAACGTTACAATGCCTCTTTATATATTTTATATTGATCACAGTATCATTGTTATTATGCATTGTAACCTTAGTCATTCTATGTTGTTATTATCAAGCTTTGCATGTCTGTATCTGTTTTTGTACTTTTGTTAGATGGCGACATGAACATAAGCTTTAGCTTGAGTGTGTCGTCATCTTGTTTTTTCTGTCATTAAATGTTGTAATAAAAAAATATAGCATGCTACTACAATAAGCAAAAGTTATACACTGTATGTACAATGACAAATTCCGCCAATGGTGCAAGAAAACTTAAAATGTGTGGATTTCTTTCTGAATGATCACTTTCATTTTTACTCTCTTTCTGAGAATTATTGTCTGTGCATTACGAATGAATAGTCAAGGGATACGATCACCGTAACTTGACCATGCGTAGCGCGTGATCCTAGGTTTGCATATAAAGCGGCTATAGCGCGTTCATGTAGGTTTTCATAGAATACTGTACCTGATACAGATTGTCTGAGGTAAATGTTCAAAAGCTATGCGACATAAATTATCCTTTTTAAATTGCTAACTTGAACTGTTTTCGAGAGTTTCAATTTTTCAGTCTGTCAGACTGTCGTTTTTCTTTTCTTATCACCCCAACTTTGATATTCCTAAGTAGATCCTTCATAGTCTCGATCAATCATATTGTGTCTTAGGTTACTTGGTTCTTCAGGCAAGGGTGTATGTTAAGTCCTAGACTATGTATTAGTTGTCCTGCATGTCTGGTTCCCAAGGTCGGCCTCGCTGATATGGTCTTCATCCGGGGGACGTTCGGACTGGAGTCTGTCTCTCACCTGTAAATAACAACAACAACATCGTTTCACCATTTCTGTAGATAGTTATGATGTGATATATTAGTAATTCAAAGTTTGCTGTGTTACGTTTCACTATACCCAATGGCAAAGCGTATGTGTTTACGTTAGATGAAAAAAAATCCCCAAAGCAAAATTCTACTTATTTAGTGAGAATTTAAGAAATAAGCGTCTGTGTGAGCCCCTATTCATTTGCCTCCACACCTAGAAAGTTACAACTAATGTGATCTTTGGTAGCACAATATCCATACTTAAAACCTGGAGTCAATCCATAACAATATATAACGCTGCGTTACTGAGACATCCCTACCTCCTCTACCTTCCGGAAAACCCGGAGGAAGTTGTTCCCCGCCAGTTTCTTCAGCTGCTCGTCCGTCCAACCTCTCCGCAGGAGTTCTGCGAACAGCCGCGGGTAACTAGAAACGTCCTCCAACCCACGAGGGTGACTAGACACAGAAAATATGATCAGTGATCACCGTATGCTTATCTCTGCATATCATAGGAAATCAGCAGCCTTTGTCAAGGGGGTTGGATAAGTTGCCAGAAGAATTAGCTAGCCATGGAGTTACATATTAGATCATTTCCATCACATGTTCTACAATATCTACTGTTGGTTTCAGTCTGGTCCAGAAAGTTGTATAGTCCTTGGTGGAAAAATATACGCCAGTTTTAGACACGATATCACATAGTACATTATATGTAATCATTATGGATATTCAATCAACAAGGAGCCGGTCCCCCATTGCAGAACTATCAGTTACCTGCCACCAATCCCGTCAAAGTCTGCCCCAATCCCGACATGATCCTCCCCTGCACGGTCTTTGATGTAGTCCACATGATCTGTAAACATGAAAAAAAAGAGTTATAACAGTTGTATTGACCAAAGCAGTACCATTTAGCCCATCAAATTCTCTACTGTCCTTATCTGCAATATTCGTCAAAAATGAAGTCGATGGCCAGGTACACGTGGTGACACAGGTGTGCTCTGAACTAGATGGCCATTGGTTTATTTGTTTAACGTTACATATTTAGAAAATGTTCAGTGTAGGACGTAGGTCATTTTTACCTGCGACTTCCTCCATGGTCACGAAATCCCAGTTCGTCCAGGTTGCCGTAGAGTTGATAAACCCTGGGTAGAAATTCACCATAACTATCCCTCCGTTCATTTTCTGACGTGAGTAGACGAAATGATTGGTAGTTAGTTAATTGTTTGTGATATACAGATAGGCTTAATATACGGGATGCCACCATAGTCCACGACCCTCATACATGAGGATGGGACTAGGTAAATAAAAAGGTAAAGGAAGGGAATTTTAGTAAATTAGTGTTACTGTGTTTGTTTGTTTGTTTGCTTTTGTGTACAAAGAACGGACCAAACATCTTGTCACAAAGGGCATATGCTTGATAATGATATTCTTTCTTTACTGGTGTTCGCTGTATCAATTTTTTTACAGAGGCAACAATCACCAAAATTATGAAACTCCTTGCGCCTACCATTCTGTCCAGGACGTCATCCGGGACGTTTCGCGTCACCGGACAGATGGCGTACGCGGAGGAGTGGCTGAAGACGACCGGAGCTTCTGTGACGTTAAGCGCGTCGCGCATGGTCTGATGGGATACATGTGACAGGTCGACAAGCATGCCCAGTCGGTTCATCTCCAGGACAACTTTCTGAAAAAGAAAAGAGGAAAAAAGGCTTTAATAACCCCATTCTAAATGCAATGTCTTCGGTGGCTAATGGACAATGAATACTGCAATAGTAGTACTGCAACCGTATGATCTGCTTGGAGATGCACATAACTGGCTGTGATACGCATATCCATCCTGTATTGGTAGGGACTAGTAATTTCATTTTCAACGATACCAGAAAGTAAAGCAACTTCCTGATCGAAATATCTACTCCTATTCAACATCATCTTGTTTCGGTGTAGCAGACGAATGGATTGCCCCATTATGAATACACTGCTAGCTATAGCTGTGGGAACAAACTTCATACCTCTTCTTGTATGTCAATGAATTTGTTGGTAGGCATATATATAATGAACATATGTAACATACCTGTCCAAATTCGGTCAGGCCGTCCCCAACAGGCGTGTCATGCGTGCTCGAAGCAGCCCTGCAAAATACCATATATTCTAAGGACTGTTCTTTTCCAGCAGATAGCGAATTTCAATTATTATAACTATTCTTTCAGAATGCAACATTTGCAAGCAAATGCAGATGCTCCTCGCCACCAATGCCCCCAGTGCAAGAAAAGGACCATTCAGATACATTTCTTTTACAACTGCATCATGAAATACATGATTTAGCTGAATAAAGTAAACGTACCACGGCGTGTCACATGAGTGCGTCAGAGTGACGTAGCGCACGCGCAGCTCGTAGAACATGCGCAGTGCCCCCAGGCTGCTGTCGATCCCATGACCGCTCTCCAGACCGATCAGACTGGCGATCTTACCCCGGCTGAAGACGTCAGTTATCTCTGGGGGAGCAGAGATATAGCAAAAAGGATCAAAGGTAGAACAAAAGGCATATATTACGTTTATAATATCCAATGAATGAATGAAAGTAAGACCTTTATTAAAATACACATGTAGTAAACTAATAACTACTAGTATATCCGTAAATAATTTCATCAGGTTGGTAAAGGATTGAATAGTAAAGTTCTTTGATCACAACCATCTTTTACGAGCCTACGTTTCGATGACCGTCTGTCATCTTCATCAGGGCAATGGTTTACTGTGTCCAGTAAACACAGTAAACCAGTCAGAATTGCCCTGATGAAGCGAAACGTAGGCTCGTGAAAAATAAATGGTTGTAATCAAAGAACTTTGCTATTCATTAATAACTATATCGTTTGTGTATTTGTATGTGGGTGTAGAGAGAGACGGGGTTTTACACATATAGAGTGGATAGAAGTAGAGAGGATAGACAGAGAATAGAAGTAGAGAGAGAACAGAAGAGAGGAGTGAATGACTTTACATTATATTATTATAATGAATGTGAAAGCATTTTCCTCCGACTTGATAAGACAACTTACCCTCCGAGCTGGTGGCAAACTCAAAGACGTCTGGGTACTTTCTGACAATCCTGTAGATGACGTCAATCTGCGCAAGCGCCCTGCGCACAGCGTCCTTGTGCTGAGATGTACAAGGAAAGAACGAACTCCAGAACTGGAAAAAAGACAATTATGAATGTCATTTTATTTATACGATAGAGAGTATCAAAATCCATAGAGCATTTTTATTCACATTCACATTTTCTTCATCAGTCTTTATCAAACAGTCATTAAGAAGGGCGAGATGTCCATTGCTACCCATTTAATATGTTTATGGAGGCTACTGTTGACTAGACTAACTAAATTGGCAGCCTCAATATTGTCTGATTGATAAAGGTTAGTTATGAGGTATCTGAATTACACCTTGATTTCTCTACATTGGTCTAAGTGTTCCTTTAGCTTTGATATACATAACTTGTCTAGATGTGTTCAGTTTTTCACTGTTTCGCATTTAGCTTTGTACATCACATCGTGTCAAAAAAAACATTTGGATTGCTTGGCAAATGTCGACATGTACTTGATTTTATGTCATAATTTGTTTTATCTGCAATATCAAATAAGATTGATTCTTCTCAATTTTATATGAGAAGAAATATATAGAAAAATGACATCTCACATTTCTACATACCTGGGCACCAACTTTACCCTCCCTCAGGCGAGGAATGTCCGTTTGAGATTTGTTGCCTAGCAACGGACGCAGATCGTTTTCTAAGTTGATATTGTTTATGGCGCCGTCGACGGCAGTCTCCAGGAACATCGGTAAGTCATTATGACTAGGCAATATGGAAATGTGTTAAAAAGACAAGATAAAAAGAAAATAAGAAAGTTCTTACGAATTCCGAACCTGGAATATGTTCTGTTTTAGGTGAAGGGGTGATAAAGGTCCTGAAGTAAATACTAACAGCATTACTAACTTTCTTTTATTTTTATTATTTGCTTATTTCAGTATATTACAACATGAAAGGGATGGCAAAACAGGTGCATACGCACGTAAGTTTGTTTGTTTGTTATGATCTCTGGGCTATAACGTTAATGAATATCTATATTTCATAGTTCATCTTTTTTGCATCATTTTACCTTGACTATTGTATGTGCTTCTGTTATCATTTCAATACACATTGACTTTTCCTGCCAATATTTTTGTGTTTTTGCTTTGTTTTGTTTTGTTTAATTTGTTTTTTCACCCAACTGACATGCTCACAGTAAAAGTAACTAGTCTATTGACTATTCGGCATACGCGGATGTTTGGTAGGCAAAGTCCATTCAGAGCATTTTCTTGACATTTACAGTTTAAAACGATGTTTAAAAACCTATTAACACAGTACATTTTGCCATTTTCTGGCGACAAAATTAAACTTCTAAGTTCTATGTGAATGAACGTAACCCGGTCCATAAATTTGAATGTTTTATGGTCTTGTTTACAAATTGTTCAGTTCATACGGACTGGTCAAAACGGACTTCACTCACCCATCCACAAGCGGCACTTGACTGAGAATCTCCTTCGCTCGACTGAGGTCGTCTGGATCGTGGAGATACTGTGGAACGACAATCGCCACGACTACTGCTCCCACGCCTACCAAACTACCCAGGATGACGAAGAAAACTATTCTTGTGCACCTGCATTTCTTAACAAACTTTGTGTCCGCCATCTTGAAAGAACGACCTGACACCTGCTGTAACGTTATATGTGCTTAGTAAGTGGTAAGTGACCTTTGTATCAGGTCACGTGCTATTTATCTTTTCAGTCTGAAAAGCTGGCCTTGTTTTTACTTTGTAAACACTGTTCAGGCATTTTAGTCGTGCTACACATGTATAACCCTACATGCTTTGTAAAGAAGCAACGTTATTTCTTGGACTATCGAGCTCGAGACATGCAAGTATATAATACACTGTACAACATAAATCAACTGGATTCCAGTTGTTGCAATTTCTCTGGGATACAATGTATGTATCAGTACACGCTTGTTACATCAACAAACCGTCGACGCCTCACAATCTGTTTGTCAGCCGATGTTAGTAAGCAGAGAGTTCAGGAGCGCCCGAGCCTAGATCGCTCCTGGACTTGAAATTGTCGGGGGATTGATTTGGATTAGACTTCCTTGTGACTGTGTGAGTTTCCGCTGATTGGGTTTTGACGTGTTGGATCCAGCCCACACCGATTGCAAAGTTTTCATCTGAACAGTTGAAATGGAGCCGAAAAGTCACCAGTAAGTCCTTGCGCTCAGCGTGCTCATCGAAAACAAGTAAAGTTAATTGTCTACGTTCTCTTCGATCCTTTGTGAAGACCATGTTAGTTTTACTTTTGCTATATAAAAGTAAATGTAAAGATTACATTCTGTCAACTTTTTAGAAAGTCTACAAAAACTAGAAATGTTGACGACGCCGTAATTGGTCAACATCTTCACAGCAATACCAACTCGCGAGGGATGATGGTTATTGTGTGAGACCGTACATGGGTCACTACCAACTGCCGATCCGGGCCACAAGCAAGACCCCATGGAGATTTCATGCGAACGACCGTGCGGACAAACTTCCCACGGCTGGTGAACATGTCAATCCTTTTATTTTTCCTGTTGGAGACGAAGATGTGACCCGAGCTGTCCGTACAGATACCCATAGGAAGTCGCAGTTGACCTTCACCGCTACCTTTGCCTCCGAACTGGAAAAGCTTGCCTCCATCTTGAGTGTACACCTGGACAGCTTGACTCCTTACGTCGGTGAAAAGAATATTTCCTTCATTACTGAATGCGACGTAACCACTTTCTACTCCACGAACCAACTGGAATCTCTTGTATAACGAGCCGTCGGGCCGAAGCACAAAAATAAAATTGGGTTTCGCAGCAACAACGATGTTGTTGTTTGGTGCGTTTGCTGCAATGGTTGGGGTATAAGCTGAGGCTGTGAAGGCGATTGTGAAGATTTGTTGGCCGCTTTGGCTGTACTTTACTACTTTTATTCCATTTATACGAACTACTCCTGCAACCCATATAAATCCCTTTGCGTCAATTGCAACATCGTAGGGGGCAATAGTTCGCTTCGTCTGACCCGGTACTGTGTATACAGTTTTGAAGAAGCGGAGAAAAGCCCCGTTTTTGCTGAAGACCTGGACCCGTCTGTTGTATATATCTGCCACATATATTTCACTGTCAACAGACATGGCCACTCCGCGGGGATAGTTGAATTGCCCTGGGCTTTTTCCCTTCCCGCCAAGTGTGATCTTCTCCGGCTTTATGATTTTGCCATGGCTTCCTGCAATCAGTGATTTATTCCTTACTTATACGATCTTGAATGTTACTTACGCCCTGGCAATCAATTCTAAGTAAAACACACCAGCCGATTGGAATACATCACTCCCCCCCCCCCCCCAGAAAGATAAGTCACGGCTATACATATGCTTGAAGATCTAAAAAAACATCTGGCTATTTGCTTGTCGTTTAAGATGCATAATAATTACCTTTGTGGATAGTTGTTGTAATGGCACGGCCAGTGCTCACTTCAGTTCGGGTCGTATTAAAGGTCATCGTCGTTTGGTAGGAGGATATCTTTGATGTTGTTGGGAACTTCGTTGCAGCAAAAGTTGTGGTAGAAGTCGTCGTATCAAAAGTCGTTGTGATAAAAGTTGTTGTGATGGGTGAAGTGGTTGTCACTGCCGTAGCATCCGAGGTGACTACATAGTCAGTGGCAGGCTTCGTGCTTGGAGCAACACCTACAAAGTACTGTATTACTAAGTTTATGTTTCTTATGATTTGGTTGAACAAAGTTACAAACATTAGCAGAGATATGGGCACACACAAGAATTATCCGTTTATGCCATCATCCCCTTAAGCATTCAACATACAAGGCAGAAATTTAAAATAACACATGATACAAGACAAAGAACAAAATCAACTAGAGATACATAAGAACCAAAGTTATCAATATGTAGCTGTGCTTTAAACTAAAATTGATGATGCGACAGTGTTTTGAACGAGAGAGGGTAGGGTAACCTGTGAGAAGTATACTGACTAGCTTCGTGTGATATCTTTCCTGTAACTCGTATACATGTATCTCCATCACAACTACTCTCATGTTGACTGAGTTACTGAGTTTACCTTCTGAGCTGGAGGAGGTTGGAGACAGAGTGGCATCTCGTGCGTTGTTTGTGGTAGTTCCTACCTGTAATGGAATGATAACTGCTCTACACTTGCTGTTTCCTGTGTCATAACCAGCTGTGAATGACATACCCGAAGGGTGTCACACTAAAAGGCAAAGTGACCCAACTTAGTCGTCTTACACATTCTTGGATAATAAAGAGCCTGATAGATCACATTTTATCGACTTTACCGTATAATAATAAGTGCAAAGAGCTTTACAAAAGAGCAAATTGGAGCAAATATATCAAAGAGCAGTCAATATACATATTCCCCCCTCCTATGGAGATAGAGATAAAGAAAGACAGCTCTTAATGCTAGTACTAGTTGAAAATATAGATAGACAACCAATAGAAAGCTTCAACTCACTACCTTAGCCCTCATGGTGGACAGATTAGCCATTTCTGTTGGCCCAGATCTGCAGCAGGCAGGGGTGGGAGTTGTACTCAAGTCTGAGGTGAGCTGGTCATGAAAAAATGTCTAATGTATCAACCAATGCATGATAATAACCAATAAACGGCTGCTCAACTAACGCGGTCATTGTTTGGAAATGTTCTGAAAAGGCCACAAGACACACATTAACAACAAGACGTACTATACGCAGCGGGAGTTGGCTGTATTAGGTTTCACTAGTATGCTCGTAAAGGATGATACGTGCTCTGCATGCTAAAGACAGATCTCTAGTACAGAATACTGCTGAAGCTGTACCACAACAACATTATAAATTCTGTCCTAGAGCTATGGTATTTTCAACTTTCAAGATGCAAAATGCAGTGAAACAAATCGAAGAAAGACTGAATGTGAAGTAACTGCACTTTAATATACCTTGCGCTACTCGTAAGAACATTGGTATCCAACCGACTTAACGTGTTGCTTTAGGATATCAGCAGTAAGAAGGCAGATCCTTTGCTTCAAAATATTTTTTTTTTTTACAAAAGAGACTCACGAAGGTATAAGGCATTTACCAAGAAAGAAAGAACAAGGAATGCATATGCTTGCCTTTGAGCACCTTGCGTGTTGTCGTTTAACGATAAACCGATGACGATTCCGCTGATGACCAATGATAATGCCAAGATAATGCCTGATATGATTCCCACCCACTGCTTTGTGAGCCCTGATAAAATTGTCAAAAATACCCAAAACATAAAAAATTGGAGGACACTAATTTAGTGAAAACAAGGGAAATTGGTTTGCTAAATACAGTACCTTTAAATGGTTTCATGTTTCATGTATTGATAGACGTATATTAGTGAAGCATCATGGCAATACGTGCAATAAAGGTAGGGTTCTGGAAAAGCCTGTGTAGGCAAAACTTACTGCGAGCTGCTTGTTGGGGAATGTTTGGTACATACATCGGATTTTGGTTGAGGGCGTTTCGCATGGTAGTCGGATCTATGACTCCTTGGTGCTGAAGTGCCCTCCAGTGTTGTCGAATTCTCTGCATGTTCCTGTGTGAGGCTGATGTGTCACCATCATTCATGGGCGCGTCACGTCGGCTTACGTCAGTCATGTCATATTGGCTCATGTGGGCGACAGCATATGTCGTAATGTATCGACGTCGTCAGTGCGTGTTCTTCTGTTGCCATCTGCATCAACATGTCATCATCGTCGTCTTCCTGGTACCTAACGGCGTACGGTGTGCCGCGTCCTGCGAGTATTCCATTCTCGCCATCTCCCTGATACCTGATAGCGTATGGCTTGATGTGGGGGTCGTTGTTAGTAGGCGTGAAGGTAGATTTAGGGCGAACAGAAGGGCCAGTATCAGCTTCTGCAGAGACAGCGGTAAGTGGCGTGGTTCGGGGATTGCAATCACTGTCAATAGTAGCCGGCCTGTGTGCTGGTTCTGGGCAGACATCTGACTCATATGTTTCATCTGAATCACTGATGTTCTGTGAACATTCCACATCAGTGTTATCGGCGCTTGGTGAGTACGTCGGATTTTGGCTCATGGCATTTTGCGAGTACACCAGATCAGGGTTTTGAGTGTTCTGTTCGGACATCGGATTTTGATAAAGTGCACTCCAAGGAAGTTGGATACCACGCATGTTTAAGTAATCTAGAACAAAGGACTGAAATGCCAGCATTATTTTCTGATACATCATTTCTGTTGTCAGCCGTAGCATCGGTTACCACGTGATCAGTTAGATTGGGATAAGGATCGCCATCGTTAACGTCATCACAGATATTTGTGATGTACGGATCGCCATGCCTGTCATCTTGCCTGGCGGTAGTTTCCCGAGTTCCAGCATCCAGGCTTTCTCGCTGCATACAGCTGGTTTGAACTGGAGGGTCGCTCCTCGGCCGCTTTGGTACGGTGTCGGGGGGACATTCTTCAGCCATGGTTCCAACAGGTCTCAGTGGCGATATGGCAGCTGGATCTGGTTCTATCTGGTAAGGGATTACTCTGGGCTATGTACATTTTACCAGTGCTCACTTCCTGCATCAAACAGTGCGCGTGGTTCTCCAGACATTTAATTTGCCTCGCTTGCTCCTGGAGAGGATTTTGGAGATTTGGTGTGGAGCAAACTTAATAGTGAATCTGCGTATTGGTACTGATTGCATTTTCACAACACTGAGTGTTGGATACAGCCCGCCCCGATTGCAAAGTTTTGATCTGAACGCTGCGTATGGAACCTAAAAGTCACCTTTAAATCCCTATAGCTTAGCGTTCTTTGTCTATGTTCTGTTCGAACCATTGCCTTTGAAGATCATGATCATAGTACTTCTACCCACACTTTGTGAAAGTGAATGTTGCTACTTTCACCTACCCAATGTGAATGTTTCATTCCACCAGCTTTTTTGGTCTAACTGCAAGATACTTCTTATCTTAGTTCTTATGGTGTAGAAATATATCTTCCTATCAAGAGGAATGACTGCATCTAGGTGATGTCATATATATGAACATATTTCTATACATGTCACATCAAGATTATAAAAACAACAAACGACAGTCTAGAATATAAGTCAAAGACTTTATTCTACAAAATCGATCAATTTATTATCTAGTACGTCATCAAGAACTAGATATTTGACACGATATCTGACACAATTTCATCCGACAGTGCTTCCTAATGAATGTAATTTTTCGGAACTGGACGGTTCTAAACTATGCATCACAGTGTACAAGTATTGGTTCTAGCAGCAAGGTAAAGGAAACTCCACTATCAACGTAATCATATCATTTCGAATCTAACCATTCTTCATGAACACTTGAACGAGTCTATTCTATTAACTGAACAAACTTAGACTTCCTCAAAAGCGCTTGAGGGCGTTAAAAAATTTCCAAATGTAAACACAAATCCATCAGTGTCACATACCTTTTCTTTTGTTCAATGTGTACAATGGCTGTACACTGGCATGACAGCATGCATATTCATTGTCCACTTGGGTAAATGGAACTGAAAATAGTTCGTAGATGTCTAGGATCTAAGTTAGAGCTACATATGTGTGCATTGCAAAGTAACATCGTCAAATAACAGAGGTACAAGAAACATCCTGTGCGCTTCGATTCTTAATCAAGTTATGCAGCAAAATGCATGGCGGCTGTAAAGTCATGAATGAACATTCTGTACTTTGTACTCATTCTAAAGATACGTGTAGCACAAGGAGTTGGGCCACTGTTGGCCAATGGCTGCCTGACCATGTCCGAACGCCTGTGGAAAGTCCGGCAAACCGTTGGGCATTTGATGAACTTGAGGCGCGTAGAGTGAACTTGACAGCCCAGCTGAACTTGACGCCTGGTAGCCGACCCGTGAATAGTCTTCCCGACTTGCAGTATAGTTCGATGAAGGCGTAGAGGGGTAGCTAGGGGTGCTCGGCATCCAACTTTGCGGGGCAGTTGTCAGAAGACCCTGGTTGCTCTGCGACTGAGCTGGGAAGTTCATATTGAAGTTGGTTCCGTAAGGTTGAGACGGCATGTGTAGCATGATGGGGGCGTGATCCCCAGACCCAGCCATTCCCATGGTGGAATTTCCTGGCATGGCCGGCATGGACGGGTCGGAAATATGTCCGGACTCGTCTTGCCAGTTCGTGATGAGATCGGCAATGTCCGGATTGAAGATGTCCAGAGAATCGGAAACTCCCGCCGCAGGATGGCGATACCCGTCCAACGGCCACGACCCGGCCACTGCGCATGTCTGGAGGGAACCGCGGTGTCCTGATTGGTTACCTGGCTCCGTGAAGAAAGATGGAGGAAGGTTCCTCTTCCGCAGAGGCACGCGCGTCCTTCCCCGGGTCGGAGCCGGGTTCACCGGTCTCTTCAGGGTGTTCGGGTCGAATAAAGCTGCTAGAGACTTACTCTGTACACCGATGTGTGAGTCCCGGCGAGACACGGGCTTGTTCGCTGTGGCGGCTTCCTTGTCGGAAGCGTTGTCGTCCTTGTCATCGTTTTCCCCATCACCGGGAGACAGTTTCTGTGTACACCGCTTGATCTGCTTCTGCAAGTACTTCCTAATAGTACAGACGGGAAAAAAGATTATAGATAAAGCACGAGAACTCTCAGGATTTGTAACAAACAACACTCTCATCACTATTATTTTATTATCATCGTCATAGAAACGCTGTTATAAACAACCCTCTTTGAAACAGAAATGTATCAAATTAATGTACTCCGCTGCAGGACAAATAATGTTTGCCAAGCCGTGCCCTAGATTTAGATAGAGTGCATATCATTGTGATATATGATGTACACCAACAAAGATATATACATCATGATCACTCTTATGATGCATCTAGACCAACTGTGTAACGTAACATACAAAAAACTTCATCTCAGCGTAGGTACAAGGCTTTATACAAGGTACAAGGTAGGTACAAGGCTTTTTCCCTGTTTACCCATGACCTGTACTTAGCTCGTTAGAGCACAAGCGTACAATAAAGGTCTTTCATTAAAAATATATATATATATATAAAAGACTTTAATTATCATCATATGACATTATAATGTCCTTGATATTTCGGAATCGTGGAGAAGTAGTCCTTACCTGTGGTTGACCTTCCGTCGTGACCTTGACGGCCTGTCCAGCGCCAGCTTGATGCTGTTACATGCTGTGTCCATAAACGACAGCAGAGAGTCGGTTTCCACCTCGCTCGAGCGTGGGGAGGGGCAGGCGGGGGAGTGGCTAGGGGAGGGGGACGGGTTACTCCCGGGGGTGGCCCCGGGGGAGAGCCGCTGGGAGGGGTGGGGAGGGGGGTGGAGTTCCATCAGCAAGGGGCTAGAGTCAGACATGTCCAGCCGCATCGGACAGCTTTTGTCGGTCCACGTGGCTGGCTTTAATCTGGTGGACAGGACTGTGTGAATGAAACACATGAAACGGATTATTCGCTGTAGAATGGACAGCGTCCCTCTAATCGTTTAACAATGTGGGTAGTATTGTAAAAGGGACAGACCTATGCAGGATGGGGGTTTCTATAGGGTGTGTTAAAGCGCTTTTACTGGGGAATGGGGTGATTCTGAATGACAAAAGAACTGCCATTCAGCAGGGCGTGAGATACGCAAATAAATGCTGCAGACGAACTTCCGAATTTTGGGTAGAAAACGAATAAGATTGTTTCTAACTCTCCAATACTTTTTGTTTGTATGTAATACAGAGGATATGTTTTCTGTGTTTCATGTAGTTTGAATGTAATATCAGAGAATCTCTATGACTACCCGTAGAAAAAGTTTCGTTTATAGCGTTCTAACAACTCATTATGATCACACAACACAAAAGCTGTCATGCAATTATACAATGTTTCTTTTCCCAATGGTTCTGAATATCTGCGAGCCGCTAGCCAAAGACAAATGAACAATGGAAATACACAACAAGCAGATTTAAGCCTCCATCTCTTAAAGAGAAAAAGACTACCATACTTGGTGACAAGTCGGTGTGTTTACAATTGTGTCATTGGAAATATGTAAGAATTCTGTTTGTCATTATACGGTATAGAAAACGTGTCTTGTCAGAAACCAATATTGAGTCACAAAACCACATCCTTTTCCACAAAGCGTGTATACCGTAACCATTTTCTGACGTAGTAAATTGTCAGCAAGGGGTGATTTAATATATGAAAACGACATACATTTCTCTCAAAACAAAATTTGTGCATCCCCGTACAGTCCATTCTCACGCCGTAACGCATAGAAATGTACCAGCATTTGTACGACAGTCTGTCCAGCTGTTTAAGATTGAAGATCACTGGTTAAATTCTTCACTTGCATCTCGTAAATTGTGGGCCAATACTGGGCAAATTCTGTCTCCTCACCACAAAAGCAACCATCCTACCACAAATGTTATTATACCTCCTGTGCGTAAGGAATACCGTTTTAATGCATCTCGGGGCAACGCGGTAAATTCGCTTATTGCACTCTGCTATTTTGGTGCAAATTGGGGTCAATCAGATCACGATCCCGTCTTTTTATCGCTTCCTAGCGGGGTCTCCTCGCAAACTGACCTTTCTCTTAAGGAAACAAGCGGCACATTCTTTACCTGGTGGCTTTTTAAAACACAAATTCTTGTGTTTGTAAACTGCTTACTTGGAAATGGCAAGTCGGAATGACGAAAACATGCTCCAATCTAATTTGGAAATTCAATTTTCCTATTTCGTATCTTATCATCTTCTCATTAGAGATAGCCTTATTGTATTAAAGTCATGTAACAGAGTAACTGCTGTTTTTCAGAAAATCTTACGCGACAAAATGAGGAAAGTGGTCCCGTATTCAAAATACTATTTCCTGTGGCACGTTCCGAGTTCTAATCAAAAGGCTGTGAGAAGTACTTTAGACAGCTTCTAAGGAAACAATGATCTGCTTTAGTCTAGATTTAGCCTGTGTAGCTTTTGGAGATGATGGGCTCAAAAATCGTCTTGAAATCATATTCACGTCCGATATTTCATTCAACATTGTCTCATTCGGGCCACGTGAAGCATAGTTCATAACACGAACACAGCACCAAAGTAGATAGTTGCAAGGGAAGTAATTAAAGACAGTGGGATTGTATACATATAAGATATACAATTCTGCTTTCTGTGTAAATGTTTCATATAACACATGTACTAACCTTGACAAGAGATCAGTCTGTAGAGACGACGATTTGTTGCCAACTACAAGAGTCAGCAAGCCACCATTTTTCTGCCACTGCACTCACGACTCAGTCCTGTTTCTGGAACGACCCGCGGATGTTGGCGGGAACAGAGACGTCAGCGGACGCGTGGAACCTCCGACGGTCCTGTAGGTGGTCTGGTTTGATAAAGACCCTCGCCTCACAACGATGTCGCTGTCGCTAAAGTTTGGAAGCGTTCCTGTAAGACGCACAGCTCCCACCTAACTCGAAAATCTGATGCTTGCAACACAAATACAGACGTTCGCTTGTTTCTGGCTAGTCGGTGGAGGAAATTCTACCAACAGTCGTCCGCAAACCGTACAGTGGTTTCTCTGTGATATGACAGGTCCGTGTCCACCGCGAGACAGATAACTACGTTCTATGTATCGATGACTGGGCCGTGATAAGCGGATTAAGGGATCCCCGTGCAGTCAAAGCTTGATCTCTGCCCGTGAATGGCCGCCCTGCTCCGCCGCACGGCACCGTACAAACAACTGGTACCCGCCGGTGCTTTGATGGATGGAGGGGGGAATAAATTTCTCTGAAGCCGCTCAATTCCGCTCGGCTGCTTCCGAAAGAACTCCGTAACCGACAGCAGCTGGTGTGGTCGACTTCTTGCCTCGATTATGAAAATCAGCTCCCCGTGTGACAAGTCGAGTGGCTCGGTAATAGGGCGGTCGGCTCACTCGAGATGCGGAGAGAAAAGAGATCCTTTCGCGCTGGTGAGATGTCCGGTGTGTACGCAAATCAGTGGCTGATGACCAATTCAAGCTAGTGATGTGTGCAGCGGTTCAATAGTTCTGCAGAAAGGTTTCCACCCCGCTAATCCTCCAAGGTCTCGACGAAGCGTCCTCACTCCCAAGTTCAGAAACTGAAATCTGGTTACCGGAAATGTCGTTTGCAACTGGCGCGGCACCATGCAAATAAAAAAAAAAAGTCAGGAAGTGTGCTGTCGGTAAAGCACGAACTCAGGTCGTCCAGCTTCCTGTCAAAGACGCTAGCTGTGCACGTCAGCTCAGTGCGACCGAAATGGCAAAGTTGACAGTGGCGCGCTCTGTGTAATTGTGTCACGAGCTTTCACACACTAACTGAAGCCCCCTTGTACTCCTGTGCCCTATTTGCGGCGGAGGAACGAGGCCCCACACGGAGAACAACTGTAAACGAGCAGTTCCGACCCTCCGAGTACCCTGGTCATTCACGGGACAGTTTTGTCCCAGAAGAAGCGCTTTTCATCCCGAACACAATGCCGTGTTTTCCGTGCGGATCTGAGAAGAAAAGGACATGCAAATACGTCATGGGAGGGAAACATAACGTGACCTGTTCTACGTCCCCCGTTTTGGGATTTCTACTCCAAAACCCACGGGAAAAGTATTTTCTAACGCTAAGAAATAAAACATGTTTCTTGATACAGCGTGCTCCCGCGCCAATTCTACCCGCAAAATCCTCGTTAGAACCACTTGTTGTGCGAGGCAGATGTGGACGCTAATTAAATTGCCATCAAACGTAGCATTAAAGAGACTTTGCTGACAGAATCACCCAGTCGTAACAAAACATCGCATTCACCTTCAAAAGCGACATTCTGCAGCGAGGAAAACGTCACGGTGCATTTTCCCGCCATATTGCCCCTATTGAGCCATACGCATAAACTCGCATCGACTGGAAAATGAACAATAGTGTTGCGATATGGGATAATTGTAAGAAAGCTTTCTGGTCCCAAAGTGGAAGCCCATTTTCCTATTGTTTCATCAGTGAGAGAGACCCATTGTTCCCGCTAGTCATTGTGTTCGGTGATCACAGAAAAACCGCTATGAATAAAACGGGGAGCTCTGAATGCCAGCTTGACATGGCTGGGGGCCTGTGACGTCAATACGGATATAAATAGCCGCTGGGGAAGGCTTTATTTAGCTGCGCAGGGTCGCGTCTCATGACTTCTGACTTTCTCCCCCACAAATTAAGGGGGAAGATTTAGGATCGCATGCCGGTCACGCAGAGTGCACGGATTCCTTCATTCATTTCTGCCGGATGTAATTGAAATACGCCCGCAGTAATGACGACATCAGTGACTTCCTTCACAGTGTTACGAACAGTGCCTTGTCTTCGGGGAATTGTAGATTAACGAGGATTTAACGACTTTTATAGTGAGGTATTCAGCAAAAACCTTAGCTTGCACTGAATCTGAATAATGGAGAGGAGAGAGGGAAGTAAGGGGCATGGGAAACTAGAAGCCGGGAGTTTCAAAACAAAGAGTTTGAACATTTCTTGTAAGAAGCTGCAGTGAATGGATCAGCTGCAGTAGAGAGCTTGATCCGTTAGATGGCTCTAGGTGATGCACAGTTTTAGACTACAGAGATATCAAACGCCATTTAAGATTGTAAAACTTTGTAAATAATTGCTTAATAGTTAAGTTGAAATTATCGTAATACTCTCTTCGCACCTGTGGCAAGGCCGGGCTGCTCACCGGTGCATAACTGACAATGGCAATATAGCTGATGAACAAAATATACAAAACAGGATTAATGAAGAGATCTTTATTTTACCTTAAATTGTCTAAAATACGTACAATTCATTTCGTTTGTACAAATCATGTACAGGCGAAAGCAGATATACATGCGAATACACACTAGTATTAATAGTACAATACTAAGATCCTTATCCCTCCATTTGTCCAAAGGAGATTTTGATAGTACGTGCATTTAACATTATTGTATAGCTATTTGAAATGCGTTTTGATATATATATTCATGCAAACCCGATATGACACTTCATGCTAATGATACCATGGATCCTACACGCAGATTAAGAATACAAAAGTAAATAGTATCTACAAAATGTAATAGCTCGTACATGGCAGATTACGTCCATCGTTATGTGCAACCGAATCGATTACGAGTATCAACTCACTTTTCCTTCTTTTTACATATATAGTGTAATGATATAAGTATAAAACGTAATTTCATAAACACCAGTAGCCACCTTGTAGACACCGAGTTGACACACGAGCGAGATACCGTGAACATTGCTTGATATTAAGTCATATAACACCAAGTCCTTGGTAAAAACATGCAGAAAGATGACACATGTCATTCTTTACTTTGTGCGTGCAGCTTAAAACATCTATCCCTTCTTTTTGATTATTTATCCCATTTATTTAGTACTGAAAAGTATTCGACTTCAAAAAAGCGCTAATCGGTAGTATGGAATAAGTGTTTGTTATTTGTATACTAGTACTACGTATTTTTCACCTTATGTGCCACCACAATTCTCTATATGGTGAATCAGTGGGATAGCACCCCTACTGTCTCATTAATTTACCGGAACGAGATTCAATACTTCTCTATATGGTGAATTAATGGGATAGCATCCCCATTATCCCATTAATTTTCGGGATTTACATTTTACTAAATAGATGGTATAAATAACTAAAGCTCTTATTTTGACAAGTTTTTCCCGTTTTTTTTTTCAACTTCAGAGGTTCATATATGTGACACTTTGATGAGGGCCGAGTCAGGGTCTTCGTCACCAACTTTGGCATCAGCGTGGAGAATCTTCACGTCCGGGTAGAGCTTCCCGTTATTGACGCTGTACGTCACATCCGGTTCGGGTTTGGGTGCTGAGCTGGACGGACCCCATCTAGCGGCGGGTCGACATGCTGCACGAATTCTCTGTAAAACGATATAAACGTATGGACTTAATATAAGCACCTGGGATGTACAATTACTATTGTACAATTGTATGAAAAAGAAAAGGAGTCTTACTTTGTCCATTTCATCTCCCAAAGCCGCACAGCGGAATATGCTCAAATTTAGCTTTTCGTGTTATCATCAAAATATAGCATTATGGTTAAATTTCATAACCCTGTGCATTTTTGTTAACTGTGGCTATAACAGATAAGATCACAACAACGGATCGCAGGCAGTAAGCAACGTAATGTTAGGTTTCTAGATGCTGGAACCACCCACAAAATCTCGCCTGGTGTTTCTCACAAGCGGCTCAAGAACCTACAAAAGGGTGTGCATGCATGTGCATTACGTACCTCGAGAATGGTCCCTTCTTGCCGCCATATTGTCAGGATGGCGACCAGTGGTATCATGAGGATGGAGGAGAAGGCCATGAGCAGACCCAGGTTCACCGCCCAGCCCGGGTACTCAATGCCGTTATACTGCACTGGACTGTAGGTCACCAGGCTGAAGATAAGGATAAACTGCAGAGAAAGAGGCACGAGTTTTAATGGTAGGGGCACAAAACATGAAAGTTTGCTACATATGTACACGTTGTATCACCACGAGGTTGTTGTAGTTTGTCAAAATTATAATGGCACCTTTTCATGTGAGAGTTGATGGTGCCCGGAGACAGAAAATGGTCACTGACTTCATCAAACTCTTTTACGATTTGACCATAATTTCTTAGAAGTTGAAAGTTAACTCATACACAACATGCAGAAAACGATCGCAAAGTAGCCTCTGGTCAAATGAGCTAGTATTAGGAATGTTGAAAGTTGTAGATGAAGAACTGACCAGCATCAGCGCCGGCGAGACGAACATCCAGCTGATTTTGAAGTAGATGTTTGGTTCGTGTCCGATCATGACCTTGATGTTGGCGCTGAAACGTTTGATTCCTGGAGAGAGGAGTATAGATAAACGTCGCTAATGTTAGAAAAGCTACGTAGCATTTCTTAGGAACAAATTGTCACTTAATGTGCAATATGCAAAATGAAGTAGAAAAGTCATTGTCTTAAGTACGTAAAACAATACATTGATAGAGTCTACCGTAGATCCAAGAAATTCCGATCGCCTGGAAGAAGGCCGTCACGAAGAGAGAGAACCCAGCCGCGTACCAGTCCATCAGGTTCAGCCAGTAGATACCAGCCTGGGAGCGAGACAGAAGGTCCAAACGTTAATCAATGTGCTGGATATCTAAGAATTGCTTTCTCTAAAAAAACAAATGACTCACTGGTCCTAAATTCATGTAGTTTTGAGGGCATTCGTGTGGAGATATGTACCAGTTATATATGATTCAATCGAATGAACTGAGTTGACCATAGAAGGCTGTATAACCTCCTTCGCCATGTCTATACAGAAGAATGTAACGTTATATGGTATAGCTGGTAGAACGACTTGCTTACGACAGTCTTACCTGAGTGCATTGAGTAAGCCCGAGCAGATACATGCTGACGCAAAAGCCGAGAAGCAGCCAAGTCTTGTACTTTGACAGCAGCTTCGGAAACTCGTCTACGAGGGCTGTGGTGATGGTCTCCACTGTCATGAACTACAGATGAAATATGTAAAAGTGTTTGTTGTGTCACCTGAGTGATGTGGCACCGATTGGGTTGACGTTCTCAACCCCCACGTACACACACACAAACTCCTGAAGTGTATCACGAAGCTGATTTGAACACACTACAAGGTATTTGTATTACAAAACTCATGACTTACGAAAGGCAGGTGCCAGTAGACATGTGCACGTAGCTAGATCCTCACTGAGGAAGATCTGAGACCGAAGCCGGATACGTTAGAAGACATCGCTACAGTCGGAGAACAAGAAAGTGGAAAAAGAGAAAGTATAAAGAGCAGCCAAGGAGTGCAAGTGACAGGAAGATAGAGTGTAACCTCAGGAAAAGAAGAATATACCTTGTATAAGAAAAACGTCATCCCCGCGGAGAAGGCAGCACCGAAGAATTGAGAACAAGAAACGACTGAAAAGTTGATATGTTGTAAGAGACAAGCAATATTTACCATACTGTCCAGACCCAGCGTCAGGATCATGAAGAACAGACAGATGGCCCAGAACGGGGAAGCCGGGAGCAGGGTCAGGGCTTCCGGGTAGACTATGAACACCAGTCCGGGTCCTGAAAACATCACATGTGGTTAGTAAAACGGTCTCATGACTCTCTTGTTCTGTAGGCAGTAGCAATGATACTGCTCTCAGTTTATGAAAATTTGCTTCGTTTCCGATTAACAAAGCAAAATCCAATTTCTATTTCTCAAGTAGGCAAATCATGAACGACTATATTACCCTTACTTATTAGTCTAAACAGAAAAACATTTATAACAGAGGAACATCATTATGTTTACCGAAGGAAAACATATTATATTTGCTCATTTCCTCCTCCTCCTCTTCCTCTTCTCCAAACACCTAAAAATCGTAGATATTTTCGTAATTAGAGCTTGGAGGAAAATGAAATTCAGCATGCTGGTAGGTTGGTACGTTAGACATTGAACCTTGGTCATTTTGGCCAACATAGATGTCAGAAAATGATTTTATTGGCAAAAAATGGGTGAAAAAAGTTGCATTTTAAGCCAAAAATCGAACAAAAAGAACGCGTTTGGAACATTCGAACAACCATGGAACAATGGAACAGCGTGTTCGATAACCGCGGTCAATGACCCTAGCGCTACGCACGGAACACCCGAGATTTCCAAATATGGGCATCCGCCCTTGTATGACACGAGAAGAGATCGGTGGATCAATGTCAGCGGTCAGTTTTCATTTTTCTTCGTAAAATACGGTCATATGAATACCAGTCTCGAGTAGAGAATATTGCATTGGGATTTGGGGTTCAATATCCACAATTAGGACTGCAGATTTCCACAGAACGCCGGCGACTTTGTGTAATTTTTTGCATGTCACCGCCGGCTCAAATACAAAAAAACACTCATAATTTACACTAGCTCCTGACTTGATAGAATCTCGTATGTATAGAGATTTAGGCTTGCTGCCGTTTTGAAAATAAAGTAAACAGAATTGTGTTCATCTGTAACTATTGTCGACTTTGTAATGTGGGTGCGGGGCCGGGGGAGGGGGGCGGTTTCTTTACGTTTATATAAACATGGATGTGACATTACATTTTGTCGTTTTGTCAGACAGTTTCAATCTTTTTCGGGATAACACAGTACAGTACACGGGATAAGCATCAAATCGGGATTCATCGGGATATCCCGGGATTTTTCGGGAACCATGTTGACTAAGATTTTTACAGACAGACGGTGCAGCGCATGTTTGTTTCCAAATTATGCATGATGATAACAGTAGCACAAACGAATAGTGTTTTTAATCAAATGTTTTTTTTTAATATCGAAAATTTTAGTGGCTTAATAATGTTTAGAACGATAACAAAATAATACAACCGTCTTGGTACGAGAATTTCTGTCTGACCTTGCGACGTGGACGGCCCTAAGTACTGCTTTTGATGTCACCCGACCCGCGCTATCTAAGATATAAAATCTAACACATCCACGTGCCATGTCGCCAGAAGTTCATTTTTCTCCTAGATAGGGGAGGTCGACGCACGGAGCTGCGGAAGGGAGATTAAACATTATACAAAAGAGGGGGGGGGGGGGCGAAGCATAATTAAAAAGTTCTTTACGCCTCTTGGCTGTGTTTGCGATCAGCGACGAACAAGAATTGGTACATTTCTGTGACTGGGCCACGTTGCCACAGAAACGGCACGCAGCATAGCTATCACCGCGCGGCGCCCAATCACAGCACACAGACGGGGACCCGCCCACTGGCTGGGCGGCAAGATTTCAAACTCAAAGGCTCGATGCTCCGCCCCAGAGACTCCGGCCGCCCTGGCGATTGTAGCGATTTTCCGCCTCAGTCCTGCAAGCGGCATTGTATTTTTCATTCCAAAACAACGTTTTCACAAGTGACATCGAGAACGAGAATGCTTTTTCCACCGGAAGATTTTTTGCCAGCCGCGTGGAAGTACTTGCTTTCAGGGTAATACGTACGTCAATGGACGTGGTCGGATCGTTGATTGTTGATGCAAGGGTTTATTTATTTTATGTGTACGTGTTTGCATGGGAGGGGTGAGACGCTTGCCGCGGGATTTTGATGTGCAAACGTTCCTAATTTTCGTAATACAGAGACTACTTGACGCAGTCTGCTTATGAGAAGATGAGTAGACCTCAACAAGCCAGTTTAGTACAAGATGTCACAATGAAATACAACTACTACTACAGCCGGTACGCCCCATTTTATTTGAAGGTTTATAAACTTGCCGAAACTC